TCATGAAATACATCCAGAAATCGTCACTGTTGTATAGTTATACCAGCTGGCCTCCTTTATGCCTCGCGTAACTGACGGACGGAACGTGTGCATGAAAACGCGTTCCTGACCGCACAAGGCGCCTTTGTTTAAAACGAAAACGCTGCGAATATAATATATCAGGATGAATTCGTTTTATTAATATAACGTCAAATAAGAATAATACTACCAAAAATTAAGAATGATTAAGAAAAATTAAAGAAGCTCGAAATACAAACAATTTTCTAGTAATATCTAGTTTTATAGATTGCGATTTTTTTGGAATTGATATCGAAAAATCTAATATGGCAACTTTACATACAAAAATGAAAAGTAATTGTCTCTTTTTCAGAGTTTTCAGAAAATTTCCAGATAACCTCGCATTCTCACACGGTGTATAACATTATAAAGTAAAATTTACGAAATGTCCACTGCCGCGAAAGGTTAATCCGATATACGAACAGTAACAAATCTTACTGGTCTTAAGGCCCATCTCACACTTGAGTGCTGCTGCAAAATGCAAATTGATAAAATAATCAATCCGCCGATGAAATAATCTTATATGAATTTATTTCATATAGAATTGCAAAAAGTCGATTCTCTTTCACTTTAAATTTTTTATTAATAAACCAAACATACTTTTACACTTTATCTTTCTGTATATTTACATTTCTAAACGATTGTCATTTCTACTATTTTTGCACACACTGTAAAAATTAAGCCGATTTTTTAAAATAAGGTATGACTGTTCGGATTTGTCTGATCAGATTTATCAGTTGTGAACGCGACTTCATATAATACCGACGATGTCGTCTTCGAATCGGTTCTTTGTGTCTGGCAAGAATCAAGACGCCTACAGCTGTCTGCCAATGCTTTTTCAACGATAGCGACTGTCGATCGCTTCGAAGTATATACGTAAAATGTATACGAAGAAATCGATTCTCGTGATATTCCACGTTGCACTGTCATGTGATTCTTTTATTGTTGAAAATTTATTCTGTCGTTAAAATCTCGCTACTCGGAAGAATCAGGTTCTGGTTAAGAACTTTTCAATGCTTTTCATATATTAAAACGAAACTAAAAATGTCAAAAAGTTTAATTATAAATCAGCGATATTAATTTAAATTAAAATTAATGTTGGATAATTTCATATATATAACGTGTATAATTAATTTAATATAATTTTTATTTTAAAATACAGAAATAAAAGAAAAACTTTTTAAGAAATTTTATTTTTCAAACAAATAGGTTATATCAAATTAATTAATCAAAATAATAATTATTTCGTTAATACTTTTAACTAATATAATTTTTCATAAATATTTAAGAGAGTTTGTAATAGTAAACTTCAACTCTTTTTCTTTCACTTTAAACTCCGCTGTATCCTTTCGGAATTCCTCGTATACTGCAGTCACTCTTCGAGTACTGACGATCGCTCGATAGTTTTCGGCTAATGAGACGACTGATATCTAGCAGGAGTGCGAGTAATATCACAGCAAAGCGGTCTGTTCTAAATTGTTATTGCTGCCGGGCACAGGAAAAAGCCACTCGCGAATGCTATTTATGGCCGTCGTAAATCAAACGGCGCCGAAGCGGCCGAAGTGCGCGTGGCTGCCGCCGCCGCCGCAACGCGACGCGACGCGACGTGACGAGAGGCGCGAATATATGTATGGTATATCCACATACGTTCGCTAACTCATCGAGAACCTCTCTCACACCCACATATTTATTCAATCAACCCGGTAACGTCAAAGCTGTCGCGTCCTGGAACTTCAAGAAGAGGTCCTTGACATTCCGAAATCAAAATCGAAATTCCTGACTAATCTTCACCATAATCTCCTCGATTGGAATTGGAAATGAAATTCCGAGATCTATTATATGACATATTTTTTTTATAATACATGGTCTGACAATAAAGACCCCGGATTGTAGCAATAAAAGAAATATATGTACAAACATCTCAGATAACACTACTACTTTCAAAGTAGTTCCCCATGACATTAATACACTTGACACATTTTTTTTATATAAAACATTTTTTAAAGCTGTAGTTGGAATGCTCAAAATACTCACATTCCTTGAATGTTTGAATTCTCGATATCTTGAAAATGTTTATCTTTTATGTTTTTGAACTCCAGAAATACAGCATGAAAAAATCACATAAGGAGGGTGGTTAATTTCAGCCAATAACAACCCCTTTCTTGGCAAAAACAACTTCACAAGATTCCTTTGTGTGTATATATATAAGGACGTTGTCGCTTGACCAAAAAAGGGGTTGTTGAGATTAGCCACTTTCTTTATCTGACTTACTCGTGCTGTGTTTTTATGTTTTTGAAGTTCAAAAATATAAAAAGTAAATATTTTTAAGACGTCGAAGAATTCAAACATTCAAAGGAATGTTAGTGTTTTGAGTAGCATTCCAACTACGAACTTCAAAAAATGTTTTGTATAAAAATATATATTAAGTGTTAAATGTGTATTGATGTTATGGGAGACCTACTTTGGATGATAAGTATAATTTTTGTAGCCTGAGATGTCTTTTTTTATTGTTACAGTTTGAGAATTTTATTGTCAGATCGTGTATGTTTAAAATTGTATTAATCAAAAATATTATGTCTTCAAAAATTATATTACTATAAGTATTGATAAGAAATCGTTGAAATTATTCAAATGCAAATATCCGCGGAAAAATATTGAAAAAAATTATTTTAATTAAATTTGAATGAAACAATGTTGAACTTAAAGTTGAACTGAGTGAATATCAATTTTGTAAGACTACGCAAACGCCGGGACAGGTTAGTGTTTTCAATGCCTACCGAGGACACCCGGTATACTTTCGCCGAAATTCCGCGACTGCGAGTTTCCTCACGCACCTCACCGGACTGCATTCCGCTCTTTGTGTCCCTCTTTTCTCGCAGACAGTGCTAAGCTTCTTCGTGGTCGACGCTTCATGGTCGATACTGATTTACAATGGTTAAACTAAGCAGTTTCCGCAAAAGTATCTTGACAAAGAAGCTTCGGATTATTATTCGTGTTCGGAAGAGATAGAGATAAGGATAATTCTTTTCTGCGTTTTTGAGTTCTGCGAAATTCTAAAATTTTGATCAAATTTACTAAAGTTTAGATTCAAAATTTAGAAAATTTGAAAATAAGAATACGAAAATGTTGAATATACCACATAGCATAAAAGTCTCAAGAAGAACTGTTTGTATTCGATATCTTGAAGAACCTGACCTAAATTCTTCGAGTAGTGCTTTATGCCCTGTCCCGAATTGGAGAGATAAGGTAGACTCGACATTCCTTTGATTATAAATCATTCAAGGGCTGTCACGTGTGTCACGTACAATCTTGTTAAAAAATTTCTAAGCTGAAAAAAGAGGTTTGGTAATAGCTAATGTTTAGTGAAATAATGCCAAATAAATATTTGGTTAATATATTATAACTAAACATAATTTTACGTTTACAAATATTTGGTAGCTTTCTACAAGTTCTTTTTCAGTATAAGCAATTGACTTTTACCTGCTTTTTATTAGAGAAATACGTTAAAATGCGAAAAATACTCGATAATCTTAATTAACTCACGATTTGCATTTCTGATCAATGAAAGGCGGCGTAGAAAAATGAATGAAGTGACAGGTTTCCTTGACGATTCGCCCAGATTGCGCTCTCGTAAACTTTCTATCACAAAAGTGATTTACTGCAAAGCACTTCTACAGATACACTTTCGACCGGATAAGACGGAGAGAAAAGAGAGAGAGAGAGAGAGAGAGAGAGAGAGAGAGAGAGAGAGAGAGAGACTTCTTATATAACATTGAACGATGCCGCTGACAAAAAACGTCGTCTCTTTACTGTCATCGTTCTAGGAATCGTTCATTATCGTCGTCCCACTTGCTGCACTGGGGTTATGCTCTTAATCGAGATTGAAAAATCTATTATTTTTATGGAGACAAGCTTCCCAGAATTGCAGCGTTAATTAGAATGTTTTCTTAATCCCCTTGATGTCATCAATTTTTGTTTTAATATCTTTGAACGCACGCATAGCCGTATCACACTAAAAGCTATTAATTTCACTCATTTTTCTTCTGTCAATTTCTAATCCTTATGTTTAATGAAAAAAATCTAATTTATCTTTTATAATTTCTATTTTCCTTATTTATACTTATATATATTATGTATTCTTTTCATTAATTTATCCCTGAATTAATATTTACTTGCAGCGTGATTTTACTACAGTTTATACATCTGTGTTCAAGGAATGGAAGAGTTACTTTCACAGTTACTTTTTATTAAATTATTATATAAAATAATTTTAGCCTCTTAAGTGTTTAGTTAGTTATCATTACAGTCATAAAAAATTGCAACATTGTTACCACATTGTTACAAAAAGTAACTGTAAAAGTAACTCTTCCATTTCCTGTCTGTGTATTATCACTTCAATTTAATCATTTTCGTCACTGCTATCTAATCAAGTTCTATTAAATTTCATCTCTCTATCTAATCGTGGTCTTAAATTCCTTTTCGATCTAATTAATTATTTTCGGGCGTTTCGATGCAAGCGACAGGCAAAGGTAGACTTCAGGAATAACATCACGGTAGAGCCATACTTCCATTTAAATCTCCGTCCCTTTAACTCGCCGGCGATCACGTGCGCGTGCGGTTCGTAAGTTCGCGGCGGTAGCGTCATGCGTGTCACGTGATCAGCACTGCCATGTGACCAGCGTGTCGCTATCGTACGCGCGGTGCCGTCACTCCACTCCTAGAATCCTCAGTACGAGCGCGACCGGCGTGCGCGATGCTTGTCGTTTGTAAGGTTTGTGGCGTCGCTCTTTGTGCCAATCGCCGTCACCGGCACGCCAAAACGCGACGTACTATCCGTCCGCGCGACCTCGGTTCTTCTGTGATTTACTCGACGCGCAGTCCGCTCGTCCTCGGGACCGCCTCCCCTCGATCCTCGTCGTCGAGCTTCCGCCAGGAAGACGCGTGAGCTACGTGGCGATCGGACGCCAGCCAGGTGTCTGTTGGGTGCGCACTCCGCTTTCTCTTATCTCTCTTTCCTTGTCTCTTTCCGAGTGTCGTGTTTGTAGAATGATCAGAGAAGAGGAGGAAAAACGTGGTTCCACGATGTTTCAGAGTTCGAATTGCGGCACGAATGTTTCGGAGAAGTCCCTATCGATCCCCAGATAGGAGTCCTTTTTCCACATTTCTAACGCTATAGATTCTGAAATGGCCAGTCCGCATGTTTCATTATCAGAGACAGCAGAAGCGATAACAGCAGATGCCATCCTCGCTTCCTCTTCTTTCGACAGTATATACCGCACCGGCTGTCTTTGTCTAGGAACAGCACGTCAATCAGCTACTCCCGCGAAAGATACGCGACTGATAGATACACTTCCTAGAGCAAATGCTTAGTTTTAGGTTTCAATCACGTTCAGAAAAAATAATCTGATCTAAATGTTTGTTAAATTTGACGATGTATTTTTTGAATTGTTTCTTATTTTTAAAATATTTTTATCAATTTGAAATTTTTTTGCCTTAATCTTAACTTGTTAAATACTCCAAAATCGAAATAACAGATTTCCTTTGAGATTCGATCCTCGCGCTTGTGGACAATATTTAAGAGTCTCTAGATAGGACCGGTTTTTACCTGTTTGATTGAAAAGAATTATGGTCCTTGACTTAAAGATATGCCTGCTTTTGGAGCATCCTGGTTTTCTGAGCATGCGTGCTTAATTGTAGATCTTCTATATGTATTCCGTAAATATTGCTAGTTTAATAATTTGTTTATTATTCATAATTATAAAATATATATGACAAGTTAAATTACTTATCGTAATATCATGGAATGCATATAAATATTATATTCCTATATTTTTCCCAAATTCTTGTTTTAAGAGAAAACTAAAATATTATTGTGCAAAGGAGAATATTTGATTAAAATTATTTTATTGAAATATATTATTATTGTGCAGAAAGGTGCGTTAAACCGGCTCTGCGTCGGTCACTTTTCTGAAAGATGCCGGATATTGCATCTTGTGTATTACACGCGTATTGCACGCGCCCGAGTTTTAAGTGCCCACGCCTATGCAAATCCCGCGGAATTATCGAAAGAATTCAACGTATCGCCCATCCACGCACGTCTCGCGATAGTTACACTTGTGCCGATTGTATAGTTGCATTCATGCCGCGAAACAAGCTCCTGGAGTGCAACAACTGGTGCACATTATGCCGATGTATTTTGGCACACATCTCACATGTGCGTTCGCAATTGTGCGATACATTAAATGTATATTTAATACAATACGAAGAAACGTGGAACTAATGAGCCAGAAATAATTAAAACAGCCCAGTCGCTGGTAATGATTAAAATAAATAAAATTTATATGCTGTGAGAACTATGTAACATTTAGAGGTTCATTTCCTTCGAATTATATGTATATATATCGCTCTTTCCTAGAAATATGAAAGTTATACGCGACTGCGATCTTGCTAATTACATTGTCGTAAAATTATCTGTGCATTGTGTAACACCATATAAACGGTGTAATAAACAGCGTGTAACTCTTTCGTAGAAATTATTAAATTTAAGTGTACTTAATTTTGAAGTTAAAACGTTAACTTCTATACGGCGTTATCTTGCTCTATCATTGATAGTCTTCAATTACACGACATACGAAAGTTGTGCAAAAGTATAGTCACTCAATCTGACCACAAAAAAAAAGAGACAAAAAGTGACATTTATTTATTTAGGATTAAGAGCCACCTTTACATTGATATTTGTATACTTTCACGTATCAGTTACTTTCTATTAAATCCTCTTGCTAGCTTTTTCAGAATTCGTTCCGTTATGTAATCACATGCAGGCTGAACAATGGCGAAGTGCAACTGTCGAGTTTTATCGAACGTTTATATCGACCTCGAGCGGCCTCGAGCATTCCCGATGGTATTTCCGTCAGCGAGCTTACAATTAGTATTCTATCGTACGTAGACGGCGAATCAGTGCTCTACGCGAGACTGGAAAGCTTGATCACCTTTAGGAATCGGAGCGTTTTATCGAGAGATCCGGGTTCGATCGTGCATTTCTTGATCGAGCTTTTTTATTGACGAACGTACGCGTGGGCTTCGCATATATCACTCATTTGCGCACTCAGTGCGTACTTTCGTGCATACTTTTGTACGGTCCGATCGCAACGCAAGAACCCACTGCGAGAACCCACTAGTCTTTCTAGTCTCGCCAAGCTCGCGCTGCCAATTATTTCCCAGAGCCTATTATTAGGCCCTTGCAGTCGGCGAATTCCTGCGCCGACTTGATTAACGCGCAATTAAAACATCCGTACGCGCGATCGTTGACACGTCTCTGTTACAAGCAAAATAAGTGTTTTATAGATATCATTTTATTATAACAGATATTTAAGTATCTTGATTGCTATTTATTTTGACGATAATACTGTCTGTTGCAGATGTCGGAATTCCCGGTGGAGGGAGGCGAGAACATGCATACTGCCATGGAGAATTTCCAGAAGAAGAACCTGGTGACTGGCAGGACGCATCACGTCAGTCATCATCCGCAGGTCACCACCACGTCGTCGCAGGTTATTATCTCCGACATGGACTTTCGTTGTCATTTTTTTCTTTGATTATCAAATATTTGCGCGTGCTCCTCGAATGCTGTAAGACGTTGTCGCGATTCTTTGAAAAATAGAAAAGATGCGTCACTTGTATTTCCGTCACTAAATACTATGTTCACAGGAGTCAATACACGTCTTCTCGTAGTATGTTCCGAGTATTTATTGTTTAATTGACATGAGACAGATACGGTTCTTTGTTCTGAATGAATTTGAAAATCTATTTGTGCAAACCTCAAGTTTCCGGAGGACGGATTTTCTTATTAATGAGAAAAATATTAGTGCATTCTAAAAAATATTGGTTATGATATTTATGATAATGATAATAATGCACATAATATATCATATTATATAATATATATATCATCATACGTTTAAATTATTAATGCATTAATAATTTAACATACATAATTAACACCATACAGTGTCTACATAATTTTCACTGTATTGATATTAATATGAGTTTTAAATACACACCATGATGTTAATACAAAAATTAAGAATTTTAAATTCACGTCGAGATTTTTTAGAGTGCGAGAGAAGAGGAGTTATATCGAAGCTGTCGTAAATTTCGAATCAAATCTAAATCGATTCTGCATCTTTTCACCTTTTATATTATTGAATTTAATATTAATTGCATTAAATTCAAATTAATCTGTTCGCAATGAATAATTGCGTTAACTTTGTATAGATCAAGTGTTTTACGCACGATTGTGATTTTCGAACAAAATTGAAATTCGAAGACCTGTACTTCACGCATCTTTGCATCTTTGTGAACATTTAGTAGAAGCGAGTCGCGATGTGCTGCAATATTTATTTGGCCTTGCTGCTTCGGGGAAAACCATAGACGTAATAGGTATAGACGCGTATTCTCTGATCTCCGCATCTGTGCTCCATTAGAAAGAATCATATCAGGCTTCATCTTCTTTCAGTTCTATATACGTATCAGCCTCTCTTTTCGACTCGATACTTTAGAAGTTTAGAAAAAGAAACTGAGAAAGAGAGCGCTATATGATTAAACTATCTCACTTTTTCCAATAATGACAACTTCGTAGAAATACGAGATCTATTCTTATTACGGGGGAAACACAATCGTCATCTTCTTCGCAGACTGTTTCTTCTAATTCGAGAAGTACCTGCTGAAGAATACGCGGCCTATCTATCGTCCTATTCCATCTTCTCTGCGTCAGCTAGATGAAGTGTCCGGCGCCTCCGACGCCCACATCTGAGACGAATTTCCTGAAAGTAATCACGAAAATTAGAAATTATTCATCCGTTACGCTTTTATCATTGACGCGATTTGCTAAAAGCGCCTAAAATAATAATCACCGTCACTACTCGCGCAAGTCAATCGATTCGCCTGACTGACGACGCTTTCCATTCACATTCTTGTCTAATTTATTTCTCTATATTACTAAATAAATGTATAGTTAGAGCAATATCTCGGACAGACTTTTATGCGTTGTTCAATCACATTTTTTTTCCACTTCTTCTTCCATTATTAATATTTGCACATAAAATGGTCTATTTTTAATAAAGATATATAAGCAGTCTCTCTACTTGATTGTTCCAACGTGTCTCTGAAGTTTTGTTGATCTCGCTTGTATTGATGGGCAGAGCTGTGGAGATTGGCTGTATACAACATACATCGTGAGAATACTACTACATCAGAATTAGTGCTTTTTATAGCGGAGTGGAAGGAAAGGAAAAAATTAAAGCTGAAAATAGTGAAAATTATTGAGTGTATTAGGCAACATCTGATGAGCTTGCAACAATAAAAAGTCGTTAAAAATTCTTAAAAAGCAAAAATACAATTTGCCTAGTGATTTTGAAATCGGTTAAAATCAATTTTGGCCAGTTAAAACCACTAGCTAGATAAAAAAAAAAAATCTTTTACCAATCCTGGCTTGTGTGCACATGAATTTTTATACCAATGATGTGTGACGATGTATGTCGCGATTAAAGTGGCTACGCGTCTCGCCAGCAAAACCACTTGTCAGACCATCTCCGATCATCGAGCAATCAGAAGCGATAGCTCGAGAACGACTATAGGCGTTTACTACGCAATGTGGCCGCCCACGTGCATATTTTTCCATTGAAGATTAATCCGGCAAAATCTTAGTGAACCTTGGTACCGTGCTTCAAGGTCCCTTCTCTCGTCATTTCAAGAGAACGTTGCCTCCTTCTAAATATACCGAGCCCTTTTCGTCTTTAGGTTTGGCCGAGTCTCGTACATCGTAATGACTTCTGGCCTATCGCCAACAGTCATTACAGTGGTTGCTACAGCAGATGCTGTTTACATTTTTCCCTTTAAACCTTTCTGGTTTGCTCTTTTATTTCAAACTGTACTTTCCATTTGTATCTATAAGGTGAAATATCTGACTTTAGTTCATAAAAAGGTTGTTTAGAAAATGTTGTCGCGTTTGTCGAATAGAGTTGATCGACAAAAATATTATTAATAACAATTAGTTTAGGTGAAAAAGAAATAGCTATCTAGGATAAAATAAATACAAATATGATACAGATATAATACACAAAAATGTCGAGAGAAGGAGAGAGGAGAGAGAGAGAGAGAGAGAGAAATTAATTTGAATAAGACTATCTCTCGAAAAATTAAAGAATAAAATTAAGAAGTTTTTTAAATAAAAAAAAACTGATTACAAACTCGGTATATTTAATAGAAAGACGGAAAAGAGAAACAGAGATAGAGAAGTAGAATATTGGAGCGGGAGATTTTGAAGCGAATGAGTCATCTTATACGTATCTTAAATAGAACGAAAACGGCTTTTGACTCGGCAGATGCTGACGACAAATCAGAGCCAACATCAGAGTAGTAGCAGCACCAGTACCAGTACTAGCAGTAGCAGCAGCAGCAGCAGCAGAGTGGCTAAATCCTCGCAGAGGATTCTCACCTCGTCTTCATCGAGTGAGATGAAGGCGAGCTCCATGAAGAGCGATCTGACAGAGCTCAAGCGCGGCATCTCGGAGATGAAGAACATCTCAACCAACTTTTCACAACGGCTGCGCAGCAGCATGGAGAATCTCGTAGACAGGTTGGTTCATTCTCAAGTAAATTGACTATCTCTGAGAATCAATTCAATTCTTAAAAGATATACTTAATTTTTCAACTGTAAATATGACTTTTTGTATGAGTTTATAGTTTATATCTGTTTATACATGAAACAGTGTTCATTGTGAAAAAATCTGTCGTTTTCATAGAAGTTTTAACAAGCAATATGAGTGTTTAGTGAAAACAACGCGTTATTTTGTGTGATTTTTATAGAAGTAGTATTTATATTAGTATTTTTAGAGTATCTACAAGAGTTTGCCAGCGTGACGAATCTAATGAATCACGTTGCAATCTGTCCCTTGTTTTGGTCGACTTACATTTAAAAATTCTCTTCTATCTATGATAAATTATAAAAACATATTTACTTTTGGATTGTGTCAAATATAATAACAGATTATTTTGTATTTTTTTGTGATATTTTGTTAAAATGTAAAGTATTAAATTGATACTTTATTTTTAATATAAAAGTGAATATTTTTATTATGAAAGTGAAGCACATAAGAGAGTTAATTGGTGACTAAAAATTCGTCTCTCAATCTAAATAATTCTCAATTAATTAAAAGTCAAAAGATTAACGATTTTAATTGTTAATAACATTTGAAAAAAATTATTAATTTCATCTTTTCATGAAAATTTGAAGATTTCTCGGAAGTTACTTCTTCAATTTCTAGTTACTAAAAGCTTAGTAATTTATTTCGTTTAGTTTCTAAAAATTCACATATTTAAGAGCTTTGCAACTAAAGCTTTCACAACTGAAAGCTCTGAAGCACGTCAACGGCGAATATTTGTGTATGCATAATTTCGATTCGTATGTGCTATTTTCGTAGTAGTCAGATTATTTTTAACATATTGCTCACGTGTCGTTTTACGTACTTCGAAATACAAGATAAATATTCCATTGCTATGTTATATCACAGTAGAAAGATATATAAAGAACAATGTAAACTTATTAATATTAAAATGTTTTGAACTCATTCATTCACGTTTTATTCTAATTGAATTCTTTAGAAAAAGAATATATCGATATAAGAACATAAGAAAATATTCGTAATTAAAAGCGTTACTTATAGCTCAAAAATTCTTTTTGTGGAATTCTTCAGAGATGGCAGTGGATCGGAAGAAACCGATCTCACAGAGCCGCTGGTGACTTTTCCGGATACGGATACACCGCCACCTGTCAACGATGCTGTCACGTTGGCAGGCGGTTCTCCGTCTCAATTGAGTTCCCTAAACTCGCTGAACAATCTCCATCATAGCATGAGCCCACCGATAAATATGCCAAGCATGCCAAACCTACCTGCTGGTCAAGAAACTATGAAGTTTGAACAGAAAAAAATGACTAGCGCTTCAAAAACGAAGGTGGGTTTTTTTTGCTTGCCTATATATTTCTGACATCTTCCGATTATTACTTTCATATTAATAATTGTAAAAATTTTACACACACACATTTAATCTTAAAAAAATAATTAATATAAAATGGGATAACTTTGGCTCAAATTTTGACAATGTCTAGACAGTATGTCAAAATTTGTGAACACAAGACATGTTAAGAACATCTTACAAACGTTTTTATCGTTTGTAGTTGTGTTAAGATATTGAGCATGCGCGCTATCTAGACATTTTTTTAAGTTCGGGCCAAAATTATTTTATTTTACAGTAGTAAATAATAATTAACTATAACAGTAATCGATGTATATAAAATTGAGAATACTATTTTATTTCTACTATAAATGGAAACTGATAATTACGATATCCATTCAATGATGAACAATTCTCAAATAGTTTGTGAAAGATTTTTTTGATTAAAAAATGATATCAAGAATCGTATAGAAAAATATAGTGATAAAATAAAGAGAAAATACAATTAATACATGAACTTACAGCAAAATGAAGAATGTTTGTTGGGTTACTGTGATATTGAATTTCATAATGTTGAAAACGGAATTGATCTCGCGCACGCTATCAGCACGTGGTCTCGTCGAGCCATTCAGTAAAACTATCCGCAAAATAAGGAGTACCTAAAAATACGTATTTGATAAGAATTGCGCGATTAATTTAGCTGGGATATTCGCCGAACGAATGGTGGCGTTTGATAGACGTTACACATTGCGAACATCGGAGATGTTAGACGTATAGCGAATGGCGGCCGAGGTGCGGCTTCCTCTAGGTAGTCTAGGTCAAGGACTGCGAGTCCTATCCTTATGTATTATGCGTGAGAAAGCATCGAGACTCAGCGTCACGTATCACGATACGCCTCAGATCAATTTACCGGTTTTTATTCAGTATCTCGCATCTAATAGTCAACTGATTTTTATTAGGTCGTCACGGATGGATTTAGCGCTGAAAAGGCGACGGCAAATAGTGCGGAAATGAGGGCTCTGCAAGCCGGTGATGTCTCGTATAAGGAGCAGAGCGCAGCAACGGCGGCGAGGGCGCGCGTCGAGCTTGACGGTGTCTCGGCGGAGAAGAGCGTCGCCGCTGCGAGGGTAAGTAATATTATACTTAAATAAATAGAAATATGCTCCTGGATGAATCACATTGGAATAATTGTTGCTGCATAATATGCTTAATAAAAGAAATGTAACGTTTGTATGAAAAGCATTTGAAATTAATGCGGAGAGGTAGAAACGAACACAAAAACATAGACATGCAATAAAATAAAATGTAAAAAATAATAGAAAGTAATAGATAATAATGGAAAATATAAAAAGACATATAAAAAGATAAATTTTATCCCGTTGTAAATAATTATAAAAAAAGTTCGCCGCTGAATGAGTCGCAATTGTGTAAAATTATATGACTATTCGTGCTTATTACTTCCTGTGAGTACGGATACAATCAGTGTCACACAGTTCAGCTGTGCATTCTTCAATTTCTGTGATTAAACATGCGTTCTTAAACAATGCGTTCCGAATTAAAAATCAGAACGTAGATGGACGGAAACTCTCCCCGTCTGGTTGTCAAAGCGTTCTAGCTCTCCAAAAGCCTGATCTTTCTTGTTGGGATAACAAAAGGAACGAGAGAAAGACTGTGGGTGCGGTCGAATAATTTGGCACGAAGTTACCGGTAACATGCGGAAACTCGCGCGGGTATAAAAGGCACGTTTGCGGTCGTTGACACACGCGTACATTGCATTTTCCACAATAGTATTGGAGGCTTTGTTGCGTCGTTAAAATGAAAACTGCGCGTGCATGGCGAATACAATCCCTTGATTTTCCTCGTGATTTCTAAAAAAATGGATACGGATCTTTGACGAATTAAGGCAAAACTTAAAATGCATATTTATCTGAAATCTGTCGGGAATTCGAGGCACTGGACATTTTTCTCACATAATAAAATTAAAGTCAACAAAATTAATTGCTTGCGACTCAGACCTGATTGTTGCACATTGTCGAAATAATTCTTGAGTACACCTTTAAGCTTAATTTACAATGTGCTTTTATCTTATTTCTTCGTTTTCTGTCACCTGAAATAAAAATAAATTTCAGAAAAGATATATAAACACGTAACAAGAAACATGATTATCGATAAAACAGTCGCAAAAAAGAGGAAAAGAGCAAGAGATAAAAAGCAAGGAAAAAAAGCAAAGAACACATCGTAGATTATGCCTTAGTTTTAATTCAAATAAAATATTGAATTCGGTGTTTCTATATTAATAGAATGTTTAATTAATACAACAATATTTTTGTTGCGCTTAGTATTTGGGATTTAAGTAGATTATGTAATTTTATGAAAAAAATAAGGAGAGAAAAAACACACATGTATTTTTTACGAATGAAAAGAATGCTGTATCATCCAGCAAGCAATTTTATTTGAGTTGGATTTAAATGCAATGACAAACATCAATGAAATTAGAAATCAAATAAAATCAGTTGTACTCGAATGCAACTCGAAGCGCATCTTCATCTTACAAATCGTACATTTTCTTTGAGTAACGCGTATTGAAGTTGCGATTTCTTCAATAACAACTGCAATCGCGACCTTGACTATCGGCCAAGGCGATGATTTCGTAAAAGAAACGCACGCTATCGCGAGGTACGAACATATCGCGACAGGCGGATAGTCCGCGAACGGTCTCGTGTAATCATAAGACGACGTGTCGTTCGACACGAGAAGTCGGTTTGGCTTGCGTTCAGAAATTCGTATGTTGCTGACTCAAGAGTCACGTAGTAACCGACCTAGCTGAATTCGTCTAAATTTAGATGACATGCTGCCAAGCGTAAATAATCGCGAAACGAAAGCTTCTTCCATGGGCGATACGAGTCACCCGGTAGAATCGAGTTTCTACGATTGAGGCAATTCATCCTGCAGATCTATTACCTGATTTTTCTCGAAAAGAAACATTAGAATCGAAAGAATGTGATAGAAAAGAATCGTATTTAAGAATTACAACTCAAAATTAAATTTCTTAGAAAAAGTAAAAAACTAGTTTTTTAACCATATACGAGTATATATAAAAATGTTCCATCACGCATAACATTAATTTTCATTTTACAGATGTAGTCGCAAAAGAATATTTAATCCTTCAAATATGACGTTTTGCATTATTTTGAGTACAAGGAAAAAAAAAATTAATTTTCTTAACAGACGGTTCTTCGTTGATGGCATCTTTGCGTGAATCACGTAGGTAGATTCAACCGGCAACAAAAAAGGTCGGCTCGGAAGGGAAGATGAATAGTCGTCTTTCCTGAGACAAAAAGAAGATCTATGCTTGACTTGAAAAACGTGGCTGCGTGCTACTTCGTTTGTGGGTGTGTTCGGCTATTATTTCTTTTTCTCTTTACGCGCCGCACTGTCCTTGACCCCACGTGTCGGCCTTACGACGCCTGTGCCAGTAATCGCGAATTAGCTTTCGGTACTTTGCAATTTCATCGCGAATCATTTTCTCGTCTAATTTACAAAATTACACGAAATAATTTGGTATGTATCTCGTGAAAGCCATTTATGTTTCGGAGATGATTATCACAAGTTCGATCATGTACGCGTAAATTAAAATGAGTAACACGTACCATGTATGTACATCTCTGATAAAATACACAATACATCTCGTTACACTTATCTCTGTACGATTCACGGCTTGAAAACTTCTCCGACAGATGCCGCCAGACTTAGGTAAAGAACGATGTCTTCGATGTCACACTACTGGAGTAAACATCTGTAGGCACGTGAAAGTCTATAAAGAAGAGTTCGACTAAATTCCGATTACCTTAATCATTAAGTAAATAAGAAATTATACCAATAAAATTAAATTGATGAATAAATGACGTTTAATATATTAAAAAGGAATTAAAAATAATTCATTGTACATTGGAAATTTTGTCTTAAGTGATTCTGCGATTGAATTAATCGCTGATTGTGAATTGGAGTTTAGTTAAAGTCGCCTTAAATCTGCTTGTTGATAAAAAAAATTTAACAAAATTAATAATTATAATTTTTTAAAGTTATTTACATTTTCCTAAATATATTTACGTCTGGCAGCTTGCTAGGTAATATATATATTTTATTTACTATCGAAAATATCTCGAAAGATAGGAAGAAGTCTAAATTTTCATAAATTACATACTTATATCTTTACATTTGTACGTATATCTATATATTTTCATACTATGTTAGTTTATCTTCTTATATAAGATGTTATTGGAGATTATGCGTCAACATGCGGTCTTAAGAGAACGACAACTAAGAAAGATTTCCCACTTAAAGCAACGTGAGTAATTCATGGAACTACAATGTATATAACGTTCGTAAAATTTAGTTTCGTAAAATAATCAGAATAAAAGTAGATCGTTTAATATGATCTATTTACAATTTGAGAGATGAGATTAGTTTAAATATATTTTAATATCACAATATCAGTTATTAGAAGAAACTTCACATTACTTTGTAAAGTGAACATACATTTTGCAACTCTGTCACCAGTTACATGTTGATGTTATTCTGATTAAAAGAAAATAACATCGAAAAATAAAAGAAAAAATATTCTTCAAAATAATGAAATTTGGAAAATCCTTTTTCCAAAAGCGCAAAGAATTTGAAATATTCTTGCAAAGTTTGTAGTTATTAGTCTACTTTTTCCTACTTCTAAAGATTTAAATAAAAAGACGTCGCTCCCGTTTCTATGGCAAAACATTGAAGAAGGGGAAGACGGTAGTCACGGGGATGACCGAGTGCTCTTCGTCGCAACCCTCGGGTCGATAATCCACCACCCCTTCAAAGGAACAGTTTGTTCGCGACATTGCTCGTTGTCAGTCGGTTGGTAGGTCGATTGGTTAGTTAGTTGCATGCTGCATGGGACAGCAATTAGCGAGGCTGATGGGGCGAGGTTGTTTTCCAAATCTGAGACCCAATGCGATGCAACGTGATTATCCTCATCCTCGGATCTTGGGCAATCAAGTCACTTCACAAATGGTACGACAATCTTGAGCCTTAAAATCAAATCCAGCCTAGCTTTAAGTGAAACCTCGAGCAAAACAGACAGTCTCGTATTGAGATGCCTTTTCATGATGCCGCTCGACGTTTATATTTTTAGTGTCAAAATTGTTACATATGTATATACGACTAAAATTTACGCTAGATAGCGAAAATGTATGAAAACGATAGTGTTATATATGTAGAGTCCAATTTTGTACCGAGTGATCTGACGCTGGAAATTGGATTTAGCATCAAACACTAGCGTCAAAATTGAAACCACATGATCGCTGACGTTGTTTTTCAAAGTTTCATGAAGCGTCACCTTTTAAGGTATCTTTAAAAACCCTTGATATATATATTTGTCAATTTTAATTACATGGTCTATTTTGACGCTAAAAATGAAATGTCGAACGTCAGCACGAAACTTCGATTTTTTGTTAATCGCGCGAAAAAATTTATTTTCCTTTGTTTCATAATTAAGTAATACGGGAAGAAAGTAAGAGATTCGTTGTCGCTCTCGCATCAGATTAGCTTCAGTTCATGAAACACATTGCTACTAGTAAAACATTCATCGGGCTTCCGAGACGCGCGGTGTTGCACATCAGAACAGCAGAATGTTAAAATAGAACCGTGCATTTTGCTGACGATGACAGAGTTGTCTGTTGTTGGTTTGCCGTTCATTCACGATGCGACATGACGCGACGTGAGATCATCGTTGAGATTTCGGTGAGAAATCTCGAAAGACATGCCAAGAAGCGACGATTACAAGTGCTAAGTTGAACAACTGCTAAGTGTCACCGATACGTTGATAGGCCGCAACCGAAATAGAGCGAGCGTTCGTGTAGTTAAATAACCAGTCGACAGCAACATTTTCAAGGACATTGCCAGAGACACGCGAGGGTTTGTCCGCAGGTTTTTCTGAAAAAATAGAGGCTATCAGTGTCGTCGAGTGGAGTAATAAGAGTCGCGATGATAAAGAAAACTAGATAAGAAACTGATAAACGTCTTGTGCAATCTCGGCAAAACAGCTGTAGAATTATGAATCGCGGCAATTTGGATTGCTATCGAGAATTTGCAAAGATAATTGATGAAATAACAGAATAGTATATATACTCGTACATTCATTGTATAGTCGCGGAAGCCTCGACTTTGACCTCAATACTGTTGCTCAAAGTGGAATGGATCATCGAACTTTGATACATCAATACGATATTAAAATAGCTATTTAATAATCACTTAGCATAAAGACAAAAAAACAAATGTTGCATTTTTAACACGAACGTCAAATGTTACGCAAAGAGAAGAATTGCACTTATCGCTGTACTTGCAAATAAAATAAGCACAATTATAGAGAATTATTTAAAAATACTTTAATTGATGACTGTCGCAAAACTATTACAGGCTCATAATTACATTAATTAATTATCGATTTTATTATGGAAACGTAATATTTGTTTCACACAATGAAATAAATATTACGATTTTTATTTTTGAGAATTTAAATATATAATATCTTCTATTTAATTAAATTTTGCTGTTTAAGATGATTTTTTGCTAAGAATGCAGACGTGAGCGTTAAAATCACGAATGGGCTATTAAAATTCTTGTTTATGTACCGTCCGCGAATTCAACAGCGAGCGAGTCATTCGCTCGTAAACTATTTCTAGGCTAGTCGAAAAATAGCAGCAACGGTGGGATCACTGTTAAAAAGCTGCTGCACCGATTACGCGATTGACGTGCGGAAACGCATTTCTCTCTCCTTCTCTTTTTCTTACCCTCTCTTCTGCTTTATGCGTAACGAAATTAAACTCTCTCGCCGGGTAGTGAATCATACTTAAGCACAGTCTAGATTAGTTTGCGTCGCGCTGCCATCACTCTTGGTGATTCAAAGCTGTCGTGTTTCTTACGACTCGATCGAGGAAACGGTTTATATATTTATAATTTTACAATTTTATTATAATTTTTATTTAATAGCTATCAGGCGAATTTTGAATTTTAGTAACAGTTTAATTATTGAATGCATGTGATAAATGTAAAATGTGAGATTAGCTACAAATAAAGTCACATGTTAAGAATATGTGAAAGTAATTTAGTTCAAGATAATTCAATTATTGAAGTAATTTTATCAAGATAAATTAACAAGAATTTGAAATAATTTTATAAAGATTATAATAAAAGAGATAATTTTTTATAAAAATTAATTATTATAAGTGTTAGAGAATTGATAATTTGGTTAATAATATTAATAAAAAAGAATCATTGAGAGTAATTTTGTTGAAATTATTAACAAATATGTTCTAATTTTTTCCAGAAATTTTTTCGATAAATAATAAATTATACTTCGCGAGGATATTTATTTCGAGCGTCGCAACATGTTTACAATTGTTTAAAAAAATAATCATCCTCATCAATTTGATTTTCATATTAAAGAGTGATGTAAATTTCATTTAAAATATGAGCGCACCGTGGCCGATACATCGTGGAGTATTGCATCGAAAACAGTTCGAAAAATCGCGAGTGGTAAGTCTTGAGAAGGTTTCGATTCGCATCTCTTTTCTTCGCCTTCGATAATATATTTTATATTTTCGATAAATTACTGAATCTATAGTATTAAGCCAGTAGTTTCGATAAACAATTCCGTAAATCGAACTGGATATTTTAAGGAGAATCTTCTTATGGAATTATGCTCGTCGTTGACGTGAATATCTTCAAAAACATCCGCCGGCTGGTTGGAATGCAATGTATTTAAAATTGAGAGTTTGTTCACGTCACTCACGATTTTTTTAAAATGCCGCGATTGAGCTAAGAATAAAGCAAAGCTGACCTTGCGCGATTGAGTGTTCATCACTCGTAAGCGGGAAGTTAATTGAAAATTTGAATATTCATGCGAATTTGCTATAAAAAAGAAAATGAATGACATAGGATTAAGAATTATTAAAATGGAAAATAGCAGCATTAACGAAAACAAAATTATAAATTTTGCTATTCGAATAAATATGCTCAGAATAAATATTATGCTTGTAGAAGCTATAATGAGAAGCTAACTCATGAACAATTTAAATATCAAATATATTCAAATATAACGTAACATAAGAACTCCAACTGTAATTAATTATTATTCTGTTAGTTTTACATTACTCAGTTTTAAATTCCACGGAGCGATTTCTGCGACGAGATAACGTTCTTTTTCATACGTTAATATATATATCCATTCACGACATTACCATTGACGTCATTAATTATAAAGCAAGGTGGTAGAAAGATCAGTGTAGGTAACAACAGAATCGAGCTTAATACGTCGCGTAATACAAGCGGTTGTGACGACATGCTCGAATTATATTTAGAGAAATACGTCGGGAGAATCTCGGGTGGCAGAAAGGAAAGAAAAGGTCGATGACGAAGAGACAAAACGAACGAGACTGATGAGCCTTCCACAATGCCGATCATTGTATCGCGAAGTCTCGAGAGGGAAAGTACCGTTGTATTTTCCGATACTTGGAGAAGAACGGTGATAGTGATAAGAATGAGACATTGGTGTTATATCGGGTATTCAGTATTTATATAAATATTATTTAGTATAATTGGATGCTTGATATTTATCTGTGTCAGATATCGATTTGACAGCAATTAGGAATTAAAATTAATCAGGCAAAGTACTTCCCCTTCCTATTCTCTCTGCAACAATAAGGTATTCTTTTTTAAGTATAGCAGATTGAAAAATAAATGTAATAACGATAATTTTATAAATGATCAATATTTTAGTATATTATCGGTCATTTAAAATATATTTTGGATGATCATCTTATATATATATATATTATAATCATTTTTCTGTGATACTAATTTCATTTTTAAGAAATTTATTGCTTCAATTAAATAGCAAAATACTTTAAAGTGTGAAATATTTATTTGCAATAAGATTATAAAATTGTGTTACGCTCTTTTTCACGATATATTTATACATATGTTATACATATGTTATATAAATTTTTGCGCAATATTCTTGTAATTTCTCGATTCTTTGCACTATTCGAGCGGGATGAATAACTGTTGGATGAAAGATTAGAATGACAGAAACGTGTATGTCATTATGCATTACTGTTCGTGAAGTGCGTGTTGTGGCTACATGTCGGAACGCCAAAAAAATGGTATCATCCCGAGTACAGTGCAACAGTTGTACTCTCTTGGTATGAGATGCTATCGTTTATCTGCTACTGCAAATTAGCGCCATAAGTGGACCTTCGATAATGCACGCTAATTTTCTGCAACGCGCGGAACTTTACAACAGAGTGTCATAGAGCTAATAAATATATAAATATTTATTATAGCTTACATCACCGAACTTGAAAATATTTTCTCAGAGAAATAAAATAAAATTTAATTAAAACAATAAAATGATAATGAAAATTATAATTAAATTTTCATGAATCTTTATTGTAAAGCGATATCTTTTCTGATTGGTTAACAATAAATGATAATTATTCCGTAACAAACATTAATTTTTTAATGTAATAATGTAATAAAGTGATGTAAATGTGTGCGATAAAAATAATTATATAACTAATAAGATATATAATGATTTTTTGTATAAAAACAAAGAATTGAGTATATACAAAATATAAGAAATCCTTTTTTACTAGTCGCGTGGTTTTCTAGAAGAGCGATTATATTATAGATATAGATATTGAATCTTGAGAGAGATTAAAAAATAACAATTAAATTTAAATCACTGTATTGTAAGACTGATGAATATAAATTTAAATAATAAACATTTATTACGTTTTATTCTGGGTTCTTTATTGCAAGATCTCTCGATTGCTAGTGATATTGGCATAAAAAATTGGAGAATTTTTTGTATTAATATTTCAACGTAATTAATAGAAGATGAATTGTTAATTGTTAAGTCTAACATGTTATTTGTCATTATCATGTTTGAGCGGTTTTTTAACTTCCACAAATTTTTTAGATTTTGACATAATTAACTGAATTTTTAATGGATACCGCCTCTACTATTTACGAAGAACGACAACTATGAATTTATTAGGATAATGCTTCCACTAATTACAGGGAATGATATTTGGATTAATTTTGGACATTAGAGAAAGCGAGTATTGCACTGAGATTTTGTAATAATTAGTATTGTCAAACTTTTAAATCTCTGTTTAACATTAAGAATGACTTGATTGAGATTGAAACATCTGATTTAAATTATTTATAAATTATATTATATATAAAAATTTTAACATTTAACATCTAGCTTGGTTCGTAGCCTATGCTTTGATTTTTAATTTCAAATAATAAATAAACAAAGTTATTTGAAATATTAAATTAAATTAAATTAAATTTTTTTAAATTAGAGATTAATAAGAGAAATATTGAATATATGTTTTTCTCCTTCAGGAGCAGAGAAGCTTGAAGGCTGGCGATCTCTCGCATCAGGAGAGTAACAACATAGCAGCATCTACTATGAAGCTTCAGAGCGATTCTTTTACGTCCGAAAAGGTAAGTAAATAGAATTAATTTTTTTATGAAAACTTTGTGTTAGAGGAAGAATACGGAAAACTACAAAACTCTCCTCGGATAATCGAGTATCTTGATGGAATAGTCGTGGTGCGTCGCTTTGTGAAAAAGCGCGAGGCGTATAATTTTCCCGACTTATACATTTGTCGCTTCTGGCGGTTCACCAAGGAACGCGCATTAAAACGTCCACGTACCGATAGTCTAAATTGTAAATCGCCATTCTTAACGTTGGAAAACTGCGGCCGGCGGTTGCGCCGCTTTTTGGCACTTGAGGTTGTATCGCTGTTTAACGCAGAAGTGATGCGAAGAGCGATGATTTAAACGCCGACGAGCTCACAGTCGAACCCCAGTCGAAAAGTGGACTCGCATGATTCGAGAAGCTCGTGAGAAGTGTAAAACGCCGAAATCATACTCACCACTTGTTCGGGATGATGCTAAGGAAGTGCAGCCTTGACTCGCGAATGGTAAACAAAGTGTAAAATTGATAGAATTAAAGAAGACAGTAACATAATTTTATTCAGTAAAAATTATTTTGAAATAAAAAAAGAACATCGTTATAAATAAAACTTAATTTAAATAAAAAAATATAAAAATTCTTAGTCTTGCTGAGTAAAACTTATGCAAATAGCTTTCTGTATTTTTAAGAATGAACGTGTACTTATGAATCTAATTTTTGATGTTTTTTTTTAAATTTAACGATGAATGAGAAATGTTTCCAATGATATTCTCCATTTTTCATCATTATTTTACACTATAAATATCTAACGATCATAAAGACAATTCAGACAAACATTTTTTGAAGCATTTGAAGTTTACCTCCATTCATTGACAGTCCGAGTTCCTAATATTTGTCAAACTTGACAGTATCCTCAATTCTTCCTTAAGACTTCTTCAACGATATCCTTGATGATTCTTTTCAAGATTTTAAAACTGATCAACGAACAATGTTTTTATATTGTGCAGAAAGCGATGGCGGCGCAACAGCAGCGGCAGACAGTTACCTCGACCGGCATTTTCAATCACGAAAAGCACATGGCCTCGAGCTCACAATCGAGCATTACGATCGCGTCCAAGTCGGGCGTGAGTTCATCCAAATCGATGATCAATGCTACCAACGCGGTTAATCAAATGATGAACGGCGATTATACAATACAATCACCGACCGCTGAGGATCAGCTTTTATCCTTACCGTTGGATGATTTGGATCTGCTTTGCTCCAAATCGAATCCGCAGGATGTGGACTGTGCTATCGCCAAGTATTGCAGCTTACTCGACGGCTTCGTGGAGCGATTGAAGGCGAGCGTCGACGGTGGCAAGAGTAGCAGCAACGGCAGCAAAGCGCCACAACTGTTGAACAGGGTGAATGAGATCATCCGAAAGGCTTGGGCAGTGCCTACACATGGCCATGAGCTGGGTTATACCCTGTGCAACACCCTGAGGACGCGCGGCGGTCTCGATCTACTCATGTCAAATTGCGTGGCGAATGATCACGAGTTGCAGTTCTCGTCGGCTCGATTACTGGAGCAATGCTTGACTACGGAGAACCGCGCTCACGTGGTGGAGAACGGCCTGGAGAAAGTGGTGAACGTGGCATGTGTATGCACGAAGAACGCCAATTCGGTAGATCACGCGCGCGTCGGCACAGGGATACTCGAGCATTTGTTCAAGCATAGCGAAGGCACCTGTAGCGATGTTATCAGACTAGGTGGTTTGGACGCAGTGCTATTTGAGTGTCGAAAAAATGACGTGGAGACTCTGCGCCATTGTGCAGGCGCGCTAGCGAACCTCTCGCTTTATGGGGGTGCCGAAAACCAAGAAGCGATGATCAAGCGGAAAGTACCAATGTGGTTGTTCCCGCTTGCTTTTCACAACGACGATAACATCAAGTATTACGCCTGCCTGGCGATCGCCGTGTTGGTCGCCAACAAGGAAATCGAGGCGGCTGTCCTCAAGTCCGGCACCCTTGACCTTGTTGAACCTTTCGTCACGTCACACAATCCCTACGAATTCGCTAAATCGAATTTAGCGCATGCACATGGTCAGAGTAAGAACTGGCTGGAGAGACTTGTGCCGGTCCTGAGCTCAAAGCGGGAGGAGGCTCGCAATCTAGCGGCCTTCCACTTCTGCATGGAGGCAGGCATCAAGAAGCAACAGGGCAATACTGATATCTTCCGAACGATTGGCGCGATCGAGCCGTTGAAGAAAGTAGCTAGTTGTCCGAACGCGATTGCGTCCAAGTACGCAGCACAAGCTTTAAGATTAATCGGTGAAGAAATTCCACATAAACTCAGCCAGCAAGTGCCTTTATGGTCTACTGAGGACGTTCGAGAATGGGTAAAGCAGATCGGTTTCGCCGAAGTAGCTCTGAACTTCGTGGAAAGCCGAGTGGATGGCGACTTGTTGTTACAATTGACGGAGGAAAATCTGCGCGAGGATATCGGCCTGACCAATGGTATCATGCGTCGCAGATTCGCCCGTGAGCTGCAAAACCTGAAGAAAATGGCTGACTACAGCAGTCGCGACACCGGTAACCTGAATAGCTTCCTTCAGTCGATTGGCCAGGAGTTCTCCATTTACACGTATAGCATGCTAAACGCCGGGGTAGACAAGGATTCGATACGAAATCTCTCGGAGGATCAATTACTGGCGGAGTGCGGCATCACTAACAGTATCCATCGGCTCAGGATACTCGACTCCATCAAGAATATGCAGCACAATCAGTTCAGCTCGTGCGAGTACGAATCGCCTGACAAGTGCCTTGATGTCTTTGTTAGTTATCGCAGATCGAATGGCTCACAATTGGCGAGTTTGTTGAAGGTACATCTACAGTTGCGGGGCTTTACGGTGTTTATCGACGTTGAGAGACTTGAGGCCGGCAAGTTTGATAATAACTTGCTACAGAGTATCAGACAGGCCAAACATTTCCTTCTCGTACTTACACCCCAGGCTTTGGAGAGGTGTATACAAGACAGCGAGTGCAAGGATTGGGTACACAGGGTGAGTCTGAATACGTTTCATCGTATTTTTCTTATTGCTAGAAAAATATTAAAACTTTTACAATCTTTTAAATTATACACTGTTAAATTATTTAAAAAATGTATGCTTGCTGTTTTTTGTTTTATCAGTTTCTAAGCCGTAAAAAGAGAAACGAATAAAATTTTCGATTAATTTAATTCATTTTTGAGAGAATTTGAAATTAAAGAAGAAATAACTTCAAAAAATAACTTTCCCTAATTATTTTTTTCTCCGCAAATAAAAATATTCTAAAATTGAGATTTAATTTATTTTGCAAAGCTGGACTTTTGCGAAATACAATGTCAATTCACGATTTTCGATTATCTTATAGGAAATTGTTGCCGCGCTACAATCACAATGCAACATAATCCCGATCATTGACAATTTTCTATGGCCGGAACCTGAAGAACTTCCTGAAGATATGCGCGCGGTTTGCCATTTTAACGGTGTTCGTTGGATTCATGACTATCAAGACGCCTGCGTAGACAAATTAGAAAGGTAAAGTAATTAGTTTCTTTTTTACATTTCTATATTTTTTATGAAAAGAAAATAACTTTGATCAAAATGGAGAAGACAATTCTATTTTCTAGTACAAATTATAGTCGAAATATTTACCAGTCGTTTTCTGAAATAATTTTATTTTTAATGAGAGATATTATAGAGACAGTTATATCACAAAATGATTGTTATAATAATTTCATCAATTATTTAATTATTTTAATTCAATAATGACATAGTACGAAGATACATATATAGGGATGTATGTACGATAAGTGTTATGATAATTTTTTGATGTTTGCTTCTCATTATTGTGTAGGTTTATGCGAGGTGAGATACCTATGAGATCTGATCTGTCCGGCGGAATTCCACGCAGCATGGCTCCCAAAGACGTGACCCAACCAAGCACACCGGGTAACACAAATATACGACAGCCGCCGAATTATCAGCGAATGCACAGCAACGAAAGCAGGGGCAGCGACAAGGATTCCACAGGCGGGCGAGACTGACTAGACGGCCCGCCCACAGCCATATCGAGCAGGTACTTATCCCTATAATAATGCAGCATATATAACTCTAATGTTAAGTTGAGTAAATCGATTCGTCAATATCCAGAAAAAAATCTAAAATTTTTAGAATCCATTGACACCTTAGTACCAAGAACTCAGTCTCGACTTAGATATTGATAATCTGATGTTAAATCAATTATAATATTATGAATAAAAAGTTCATCAACATGATTTGGAATAATTTCATTAAAAATAATTGAATAAGGAAAATTTATAATAATAAATAACAAACTAGATTTATTGTTATAGACCGATCTTTTAATAATTCAGATTTCTTAAAAATATCCAAAAAAGAATTAAGCGATGATTTTAGGTATATTAATAGTAATAAATATCTTTAATGATCTGAATTAGTAAATTCTTCACACTGGCCGCTAACGAATCGATTTATGATGCGATTAAGAAGCGAGCTGTACTAACGCAATGCTAATTTTTGTTTTCACGCAGCCAAGATTGCGAATCGCTCTATGACAATCAAGACTAGGTCAGTCAGCGATACAAATTTTTTATTGATGTTTAAACGATGTCAAAATATATCACTATCCTATCGCTTTTGCTAAACCTTGTGCTAAATCAGTCCTTTGATATTATTGCATTTTTCAGTTCCATGTTACACGTAGATAGATATTTGTGTTTGTTATGTAGACGTATAATGGTGAAAGTTTAAATAAATTTTTGTCTACTTTTGAATCTCAGATGTTTATTATATAGTTATGTGTAAAATAAAAAAATTATTCTTTGATTAATATATAATACATTGCTAAAAATTAATCAAAATAATTAGATTTTATGAGTAAGATTTTTAATTTTAATAACAAATTTTTTTGGTGATTCTAAAATTGATTTTTCGCAAAAGTTTTGTAAAAATATATACCGACTCACACACACATACAGCGATTTTAATTTTCTACACGCATAGACAGCAATATTTACACACACATATATATATATATATATATATATATATTATATATAATAGTATTTATTTTCATTATTTATTTCATATTTATTAATTTAAATGGTAATGCATGATATAATTTTGCATGATATAATCCAATAATTCTTCGATGTTCGATAAAAGAAAATTTGAGACAAATTCACAATATTAGAATTATAGGAATATAATAAAATAAAAATATTAATTTCTCGAATGCTAATATATACAATATAATAGATTCTATGAGTCAATAAAAATTTAAAATTAATATTTGTTTCTAAAATTTCTAAACTTCCTAAAAATTAGTTTTAACAATATGTGCAACAGATTTTATTTTGATTAAAGATATGTTAAAGCTATCTAAAAGAAACGAAAATATGAATATCCTTGTTTTATCTAACATCGAAGAAAGCGAACAAGAAGCGCATCCCTCGGTGAGTCATGATTTTGCAATAAGTTCTATTTTTGTGTTGTAGACTTAGAAAGTCGTCGAGTCCATCCCGTTGGTTGATGGGCCTGCCACCCACGTCGCCGCGCTTCAAGTTCATGTACACGCATCCGATGGGTGCCAACAACCAGGCAGTACCTCGTAGGCCACCGCGGCAGCTACCTTTACCATCGACGCGATCTCGCTCACTGGAATTGCTGGATCAACAGGACCAGGAGCAGAAGTCAATCTCTTCCGCAATCATTCAACGACCACCACTTCCTAGACCAAGGTCACGCAGTCTGGACGGTTTGCTGGATGAAGATGTGAAGAACGGTGAAGAGCAGAGCAAAGAGCAATGCCAGAAAAATCGAGAATGCCTTTCGATGAGTTTGGAAGAAAGTAAAATTGTACCTGCTTCAGAAGAGAGCCAGAAAAAACCTAATACCGAGGCTGTCGAATCCAAGAGTGAACTCAGATTGATTTGCAAGATAAAGCCGCAAGTGCCCAACGAATTCAAATCTGAGACGGAAGACAAGCGAACGTTTTTGAACAAGAACGAAATTGACAAGGAAGCTTTGCCAATACGTCCTCCGAAACCGAGCCGACGTTCTAACTCAGAAGGACAGTCTTCAACATGTTCCAACAAACAATGCGCGGAACATCCAATGGAAGAACAGAGGATCAAGAGGATAGCGCAGGAGAGATTGAAGATACAGAGCGACAACGAAAATGATTATAACAACGACGAGAAATCGACGATGTTGCTTAAGGCATCAAGAAGCTGTGGTGCGGGATTAGATTCCGACGGGAGTGTCTCATCAAGCGAATATGGGGGGCACAGAGCTCACCGTGCAAAGGGACCGGGTTCATTGTTATCACTACCGACGGGCGCGGAACCTAAGCGCAAACGGAACTTTATGGATAAGTGTGTGAATAAGGTGCGGTCGTTCATGAAAAAGTGAAGCAATGAACTTCTTGTTATTTAATTCCACAAATTAGTCGAAGTAAGGCGCGCTTGCGCAAACCCTAATAAGTCCAAATCAAAAAGATGCTGTGACAAATAACTGAATAATTACGAAATATTCTATGATCACTTGAAAAATTTTATATCTTACAAGTATTTGAAAGTTTTCAAAAGGATCAGGAAAAAATAATAAACGTCCCAATATTAAGATTAAGAAACATTTATAAAAAGTTTTAGTAATCAAGATGTATTAAATGTTTTTATGAGTATTGAGTAATCATAGTCTTAAAGACCAAAAGGACGCATTTAAAAAATATTTAGAAAAAATTTGGTTGAGCAAATTATTTAAACATTTCTTTTATACGTTGTTTGAAAAAGTCTTTTAAACTGTTGCATATGAAAATATTCAGCAGTCGGCGATTCCTGTATTTAATTTTGCGATATGAAAACGTAATTCGAACTTTGTGATCCGCTTTCTCTACAATAACAGACACCATGAAAGTATATAGCGAAATGTTGTGCCTAAAGATGAAACAAGTGTCTTCGTAGAAGCCCTGAAACCTTGACTTGGCATTACGTGTGTACGCGAATTAGCCTGCTTTTCCAGGTGCCTTTTTGTATTGTATTTTCTCGTTGTATTGTATGAATTATATAATATGTATATTATATATGTAGAAACGAACAGGAAGTTAAGGCGGCTAAATCGATATTTGTAACACTATTTTTCTAGGCAGTTCTTTTCTCTTAGACCGCGTTTTAAGAGATGCATGTGACTTGCGTGGTCACGAATTATGGTTGTTCTTATTGCAGCTAACCGAAAACACATTATATACAGTTATACACAATTGTATGGAGTGCTCGGATATGCGCAGTTCGGCGATATCCTTGTTTGAATGTCAAGATTGCATATTAAAGAAAAAAGTTAGAAAGAAAAACTAACTTTCTCTTTACTATTCAAACACAACGTATTTTTTTGTATGTAGCGTGAATCTCAGAGTTAAATATCTTGATAACTATATTTCAAGTCAAGTTTCCATTTAGGTAAAATTTTTCTAAAATTAATCAGAATATTTTACATGATTCTCCATTTTTTTACTTTAAAATCCTAAACTATTCGTCTTTTTAACAAAAAGAAAAAATAACTGTATCAACTTTCAACAAGGAATATCGTCTTTTGTGTGTGTGTGTATGTATGTGTGTGCGTAGCGTGGAACATAAAAACTGAACACTCGATACATTACGTGACTGTTTCCCAGATCGCACAATATTTTACTATTTAACACTGTTTTTATCATATCAATTGCCTATACACTCATCGAAAGTCGAAATGGTAACGCTTCGATATATAGTTTAAGAGATTCGTCTGATTATTGCAAAACTGTATATTTTACCAAAGTTTCATAAAGTTACGGATTTTATCGAAATGTTTGAATGTTTCTTAGAAATAAATTTTATTTAGCGAGACAGTCATTTATCTCTCTTCAACCCTATTTCAATGCAAAGAAAAAAATGATAAAGAATAGGCTTATTTTATTTATCCGTTTTTCTTTTATTAAACATCAAACATTTTATTTATAAAATTTTTAATTTAGTTACTTTGTAATTTTTATCATATCAACACAGAACAAAATTTACTAAGTAATATAAATATTCATCTAATAATTAACAATAATTTACAAATTCTACAATCTATTTTAATATCGTTTAATATCTTTTGAATGTCTAAAAAAATGCGATAAACATCATGTTACGTGTCTTTGAGTCAAGTTAAAAGTGATTTTTTGGATATTTTATATTAAGAGGTAAAGCCACTCTAGAATTTTCAAAAAATCGTTTTTTTTTTTTTTGCTTAAATGATGCTTTACGATTTTAGAAATAAGGTACAAAAGGTCTTATAGCGGAGAAAAATTTTTAAGTGTTATATTTAGAAGTTTAAAGCGTTGTACTTTTCGGCAAGATTTGTAGTTTTTGCGAAGAGGTGTCCTTCTGAAAATAATAAAGGATAACAGTTACGTGCGACTCGATCATCTCTAAAATCGGTTAAGGATCAGGAAGAAAAGAACATCAACGAGGAAGGCTTATTGTATGATGCAGGAATCGCAGATTAAAGGTAAACATTTCTATCGCTGATTGTTACATAAAACTTTAAATGCATTTTTCTCGAAATCACTTTTCAAGCTGGCTGGAAACATAACTCCCATAAATCTTGACCGATTTACTTGAAATTTTAACTGTAGCTTCAAAATTGCATTCTCTAGAGAAAGACGTACGGATTTTTTTTTATATAAACAATTTTTCAGCTATTTTTTATCATTTAAATTTACTTCAAATTCGTACCATTTTTTCAAAAAAATAGAATATTATAATTTCCGTACGTCTTTCTTTAGCTTTTGGAATATAGTTTAAAAAATTTTTGGTTTTTTGTTCTAGGTTCTAAGTTAAAAATTGCCAAAGTTATTGTTCCGGCCGTGCATTGTCCATGAGAAGACGTTACCATTGCAGAGCTGTAGCGCCGCCATTTTGTAACAAAATCACTATAAAAAATATTTTTTTTACACTTCAATGTATATACAACAAAGATCTAAAATACATTTTTTTATTTTTTTCATTTCTCGAAAAAAATTTATAAAGTTTATTTTTCGTGCTCTAGAGTGGTTTTTACCCATTAAAAATATCCATTTTTAATTAAGCATAATTATACATACTTAAATTAAGCATACCTAAATCGAGATTTTGAACCGTAAATACATCGTCACAATTTTATACAATTCTATACGATACGAGCAAGGCTCTCTATTTTTTGTGATGTTTGTTTCTGAACAATACTCACACTTCTCTTCTTCTTTATTTAATGGCTCTCGTCTGCCAAAATAGTAATATAGGAGGCCGATACGGTCAGATCACGTCTTTAGAAAGTGTACTAGTAAGTTCAGTCAAAGTCGGCAACACTTTCCAAAAATATGATGCAACCGTGAAAATAGCATAGCCCGAACGGGCACCCTACGTCTACGACGTCGTTATGCTGCAATAACGCACATCAGGATGAACGAGTTGAGCCAGACACGCATCAGAAAGATATGCACAGTCAAAATCGGCAACACTTTCAAAAATATACAATTAAAATCCAATCCGAAACGCATCTGTCAAGTGGTTCTTCAGAACTAACAGTACTCATACTAAATAGTTAAAGGTTGTACTGTCAATCAGGATTGTGCAATATAATTATAAGTATGTCATTGTAAAAGAGATATTTGCCGCTGTATCTTCGTATTACTTGAATATAATAGGTTCCATTTTATCCTATTTCTTTTTGTTATTACAAATCTATAATAATACAAAAAAGCAAGATATCTCTTATTGTCACTTAGTCAAACAAAACTTCAAAAGAAAAGAATTAATTTTATCTTAATGCCTCTTAAGGTAAAAATATGATTGAAACATTGATTGAAACTTATATGAAATCAAATTCTTATCTATTAATGATATCGTTGCGGCCTCTCAGTCTACGCATTAAAATTAGATCGTTCTTCATAAGAGTGACCCGTTTAGCATGAAATGTCAGCAATACTGCATCTTCGAAGAATTGTACGATATACATCTCTGCTGCTTCTTGCAAGGCTTCAAGAGCAATGGATTGTAACCTACAAATTAATTCTATTTATATAATTTTATTGAATATTATAAGAATCTCCTATCGAGTCATATTTGCTTCTATAAATTTTTTTGTTATATATATATATATATATATATATATATATATATAAATGTGTGTTATATTAAAATAATAAAAAAGCAAGAGATCAATATATTTCAAGAAAATTTTACTGTATACAATAAAACACTGATATTTATTTTTTATAATTTTGTTATATATAAAAAATTTTTTTTACAAAGTATGTAAAATAAAACTGTTCTCTTCTTAATTAATTAAACCATACAACCTTAAAAATGGATATATAAAGAATAGTATCAAATAATTGATGGAAAATTTGTGGTTCGTAAAATATATTGGTGTTATATTTACCTGTAAACTTCTGTTCTAGGAAATATTTCAATGATAATTTGTCTGACTACATGTGCAAAACTTAATTTAGGTATAAGAAAGTGTGTGGTTCTTCTTAGCTTTTTAATTTCCTGCAGTACATGGCTTTTTCGGTTATGTTTATTCACTATTACAGTTGTCTAAAAATAATTATTCAAAGTCAACAATATAGAACAACAGTTTAATATATTTATGATAGTATGTGTATATATATATAAATATATCATAATTTATTTAATATACAAATAATATCAAACAATACAAATAATAATTTTAATCTAATAGATAATTTGTCCAGCTTGTCATGTGGTCTTATTTTGAATAATTTCTTATTTTCTTTTCAATTTAACTTTTTTTTGTGACTCACTTACTTTGTCTTTTTGTGTTGCTTTGTTTGAAGATTTATGTAACGAACTGAAATATAATACATTATTTATAAGCTATATAAATATATATAAATATTAGAAAAATATGATGTTAAACATAAAAAATAATACAATAAAAATATTATTTTATAAATAATTATGATATATATTAATAAATAATAAGAGATTAGTAGATAATGCATAAATACATACAAAAATATGATGTATATAATTAAATGACAGCACTAGTGGGACACACAAGATCTGTTCTTTATTCCTATACCTTCTTCATGTATTTGGCCAGGCAGCCCATAGGTTGAATACTAGGCCATTTATTCCTACACCATTTGAACTATATAATAAATTGGAGAGAGAACATATATTTGTTTCACTTTAACTTATTACATCATGTGCACCAGTTAGGTAATGCAGGAATAAAGGACAGACTTATAATCTATTACACGACTAATTACTGTATCAATTATTATTATTGTATCAATATATAAAATAATTGTGATAAATGTGAAAACTGGAGGTCTATTCTTGAAAAGAACCGTATACGAAAAACTAGGAAAATATTATAGTATACATAACGTATATATTGTAGTATGTCCCTAAACTTTCGTATAAGTTTCTTTTCAAAAATAGACCCCCAGAATTCACGCAGAAATAATAACCTTGGAGTAGGTTTTCGTCTAACCATCGTCGTTTTATGAATTGCAGGCACTTCCTGATTTTTAATATTATGAATAACATAAACAATCCACAACTAATTTAGATTCGGATTCAGTCAAAACATGAAGAACTTTGGGACGAAATAATATCTGACATTAACAGTCAATCCGATCCAATGGGATGTAACGTACGTTGTAAACACGAATTCCCGCCAATTCTGCGCGAAGAGCATAACTAATCTGCAAATAAATTGACATAAAATTCAATTGAACGACGAAGCAGTGATGTGCTGTCGATTAAGGTAAGTTAACTTACCTGCCTACCTCTCGCAAAAAATACACGAAAATTATTTAGGACCCCTTACAAACATCAAAAGTTGCACTGGATCGACTGTAGGCCTACTCTGTAACTTTTAACGACAGTTCGTTATACTGTCATTGCGCAGCTTTTTCACCATATAAAATACCTGCGCAACGATATCCCTATCTAGTGAAATTGTCGTTAAAAAGTTACAGAATTCAACTTACGCATGCGCACAAACGCTCTCGTCGGGAAAAATCCCACGGACAGCGTATCACTTGTTGGATGTTGGATTCACACTGCATCCGATTTTCGTCGTACGACGACTCTGCAACCTATCAGAGAAATCGTATCATCGATGCGAAGCAAAATTTTATTTCCTGATTGGTTGCAGAGTCGTCGTACGACGAAAATCGGATGCAGTGTGAATCCAGCAACTGCGACGATTGGCTAAACGGTTGAAGGCGAATTGGACGGATGGGAGATGAAAATTCGTTCGAAATGATATTATTCAGATATTAAGTTATTACTTAGAACGTGAAATGCTGGCGCCAAAAGGGGATAAGGACGTCGCAATTTAAATAATAAAATTTAACAATATGATAAATTAACAATATAATAATAATAATAATAAATAATATATATAATATAATAATACACGTTACTATATTATAATATATTTATTATATACGATATAGTACAATAATGTTGTATAATAATAATATTATGATAAATATCTGAGAATGGATTGAAATGGATTAAAATGGATTAAAATGGATTCAAATTTTCAGAAATACGGATTTATGAATGTTAAAATGAATCCTTTTCAATTCGAATACGTTTTTATTCATTTTTAGGAATTGCATGGAGCATATCTGTATACTTTTCAATCCGAATACGTTTTTATTCATTTATAGGAATTGCTTGGAGAGCATCTGTATACTTTTCTATCATAAAATAATATTAGCTTTTTCAGTGCGTTTGTGAACATAGTGAATACTGTTCAATTCATAATTTTGAATAGGAAACGCAGTTTTTCAGTCCAGTTGTATCCAATTGAATCTAATTGAATCCAATTGAATTCAATTGAATAAAAAAAAAAGTTTTCCTTGTTTAAAATACGAATTCGAATAGACAAAATCCAATCCATTTTAATCCATTCTCGGATGCTGGATATGATGACGAATAACGATATGGCAGAAACTTTTGATGGAATTAAATTTTATTTCGAAACATAATTACATAAATTTCGCACTAACAAGTTGGCAAGTCTGACTGCGACTGCGGAATGCGAGGTAGTTGTGTAGTTGTCATTCATTTCCGTAAGTGTGGTAGGGTGATTTTCACGTTGCGCTCGTATATTGCAGTTCTTGCGATTGTCGTGTGTAAAATGCGTTAGCTGTCGACCTCAAGGATCATCCCGAACAGCATTTCGCTCAGGTGAGACCGCGATTTTCCTATTTTGTGTTTTGTACACGGATAAAAACTTGTCGTGCACTTTTGAGGTTAACTCTCACACTCGTCAAACTCGAGTCTCGAGTTCCTCTCACTTCTGAAGAAGATACGTGTTGTTGTCACTCGTTGATCTGACAGTATTAGTACTCGCGTATATTCGTGAATACTGGCATGTATTGGTGAATATTCGCGATCGGTCACGCAACTTTTGCAATCTTACTCATAGGAACTTAAGAAATTGACGATGACACGGTCTCAGTTTGAGAAATCATAATTTTTCAGATCGTTGGTTAACTTCACAAAACTCAGACATTTAATTTAGACTATTTTTCTTTTCGAAGATACAGTCGATATAAATGTTATTCTGTCCTTCTTGGCATTTAGTGAATAAAAAGAATAGAACATTTTGTTTTTCTTAAAAGGAAAGCAGCCACAATCAATGCTTCCAATTATTCTTATCAAAGTTTATCCAAGTTTGACTTTACTTTAACTTAAAGATTACTGTATCAGCATTTTTATCTATCTAGTTCAAAGTGCAAATTGAATGTAAAAAATACTAATAAAGTATCTACTAATAAAAGAAATTTAATTTAGTTACATCTATATATTCCAGATGTCATTTCCTTTTTTGTTAATACCTCTATTTTTATCAAATGAATTTCTTATTTGATATTTTTCATGATTTTTATAAATGTATCATTTTTTTTTACTAACAATGCATAATTTTTTGTTGTAGTGCAGTGTAATATAGTGAATATATAGAGCATGACAGAGCCAAAACCATCAGGATTAAGACCGCCGTCAAAAATAGGCCGGCCTTGCTCCACCATGCCTCCTAGACCAGCGATCCCACCTTCTCCAATGAGACCAACGACCAGTGAGTCTTTAATAAAACTGTGTGCAGTTCTTTTTTATTGCATGCATAATGTATTTTCTATTGTTTGATCATATGTTGTATCTGTTACCCATTTTTATACTAAATGGATATATAAATATATATATGTATATATATCTGACATTGATAGTGATATGTAAAAAGATGTATCTAACAATATCTCATGTTAAGTAGAAAAATAGATTATATATTAATAAATGTATATACCCGTTTTTTTATAACACTATTTCTTACCTATATAAGATAATAACAGAGTATCTCAAAAAGGAGAATGTTAAGTTTGCTATTCTTTGACCAAAATGAATAAGTTCTGAGATACAGATTATGTATCATATTAAAGAGTTACTTAAATAGAGTAGCCCTTTACTATAGTATGTAGTTTGTTGTGTATGTAGTTTATATCTCAGAATTTTTTATTTTGGCCGAAAGCAGCTTCATCTTAACAACCTCCTTTTTCAGTCTTCTTTAATTATGATTTTAATTCAGAGAACACCAACAGATAGGAAAAATTTTTACAAAAATATCTTTTCTCTTCGTGATTATTTTATTATACATAGGTACTCGAAGGAAAGAGAGATTCATTATCGTTTGTCTCATATATATACACACAATTATGCATTTGTTGCACTAATAGGAATTATCGTAGATTTAACGAAAAAGATATAGTAATCAGATATAATTAAATGTATCAAACATTCTAGAAATCGAGATATAACCAGAAATTCAATTATGATAATTAGAATTCATATGATCAGCATTTGTCTATCTTGTTTGTATTTCTTGTTAGTACAACCAGAACATTTTTTTCAGTATAATAGAAATTAATAGACATACACACACACACACACACACACACACACACACACAATTTAAATGATATATGAAACTATAAATAAACCTTTATTTACATTGTCAATGTTTTCGTAATGCTAATTACTCATGCTATAAAAGTGTTTATATGGAGTATGTTTTGACGAGAGTACTACATTATTACGAACGTTGTTACGACTCGAACATATACCGATATACCGCGAGTGTCTCGTTAATTCGTCCCGGCACACTGGAAACACCGTGCACGCCCACAAGTCGGTCGTGAACGAGCGTGAACGCGAGTCCGCAAGTTGCTCGCACGAGTCGTTCTTCGGCCGTTCGCGACGACGCATCCTTTGTGAAAGAGAGAGAGAGAGAGAGAGAGAGAAAGAGAGAGAGAAAAATTGGTAAATATTTTTCACAAGAAATTCTTGAGAATTAATGGTGAGTCGCACGAGTAGTGTGTACTTTTTCTGTCTCCTTAAAAGAAGAACAGAGACAAACATTTTTCTTTGCTTTGTGCCGAAATTGCGGTGAGTCTGATTGTCGAGTTGAAGACACTATGAAGCTAACTGCTTAGTGATCAGTCACTTGATTTGATATGATAATAATTATTTTTTTTACTTTTACATTTTGTAACATTTTACATTTTTTTAATTACATTTTATTTAATCTTACACATTAATTATTACTCAGTTTATTGTGATTTATAAATGTCGCTGTTCTACATTCGTGAAAGCTGATCAACTTGACTTATCGCGATTAATCGAAAGTGGTTCATATTTTTTATTCGTTTTTGAAGGACATATTTTTAAACGATAAGTTACTCTTTAAAAAAATGAAAGTAAATGAACCGAGTAAGAACATTGTTCGCCGCAGAGAATAATTGACAGATAACTCGGAAATTAAAGCAAATAGAAATAATATTTTAACGTTATAAGTATTTAATGTTTTTAAATATTTTAATTAATTAATTGTAAATCTTTAAATTTTGGTTGGTCTATTAATCTATTTCATCCAAAATGTGTGTATAATTTATTTTCTCTTACTGATATTTTACTTCAAAACTTTTTCTCGAGTATTTAATAACTTCGTTTGATAATTTAAGATCTTTTTTTCTAAGATTTTTTTTATTTGTTATTTTTTAGAACTTTTTAGTTATATTAACACAATAAATGATGTAATAGTAAATTTAAACAGATAGCAGGGTTATATCGCTGCCAGATGTCAAATGGAATTAAATATTTTTCATACATGACAATAAACGCTTGATAGTAATTATAATAAAACAAATTTATCGTCGCTATATATCATTGCTTTTTCATCTGTATACTAACTTTTACGTAATAATTTTTTCTTCAATCACACGATCGATCGATTTTTCCACGCATCATAAGTAAGTCTGTATACGTATAATTACATTTTGACATCAGTTTACAATTTTTCCTTGTTTTTTCAATCTAAAACCTGAATTCTCATTTTCTTCTTTATTTCTCAAGTTCGAGAATTTGTTTTTTTGGTATTAATTTTTTTATTCTTTTTCTCTATCCTTTTTTTCTCAAATATTTTTCATTTTTATTTTATATAATAACTTTATTCTCTTAAATACGCAGAGTGCAAGCGAATATAAGACTGTGGAAAACAGATGTGTCGCTTTATTATTTTTCTACCGCGCAGATCTCGGCGCGCCTCTTGACGATGCATAACGGGCGAGGTGCGTTTTCGCGATCGCCTCTGGTCGCATCCAGGGCACGTATCTTG